CCTTATATTTTCCAAAACATTAGTAAGGGTCTTGAACAAACTTAGATTCTATTTCCAATGTAGTCCAGACTAATGCATTCATCCCAGGCTGAAAATATTACTTCCAACTTCACTAATAAAATTGGGACACTCAAAAGAAAATTCCTAAGACCCGCTCACCATGTCTAATTATCGACCAGCATTTGTTTCAGTGTCCTCTACCAACCTGCCTGTGACTGTAGAGCTGTCCGTCTGATATTGCCACTAGCCACTTGTGGCCATGGAGCACGTAAATATAGCTAGTATAACTGGAAAACTAAGTAATCTTACTTCAATTTACTTAATATAAATTTAAATTTAAAATTACTCAATTCAGTTATTGGTGATTTTAATTATGTCTGGAACACTTGCACATATATATATACATATAAATGTGCTTTTAGTACATTTTTTGAAATCTAAATAACAATCAAGTATTTTTGATAAAAATTTAGTGACCAAATTAAAATGTTCACTATACAAAGTACACACAGGATTTTGAAGATCTTATATAAAACAAAGAATATAAGTTACTCATTAATAATTTTTGTTACTACATATTAAATTGATAATATTTTGAGCATATTAGAAAAAAATATATTAGTTCATCTGTTTATTTTTACTCTTTAAAATGTGACTACTGGAAAAAAAGTGAATTACATGTATGACTCATATTCTCTTTCTATTTGCATAACACTGATCCAGATCTAGTCCCTCCATACCTAATGTAAGTCAGTCTCTCACTCATACCCTATCTCATCTCTTTTACCTACCTAATCACACCACTTTAGCAATTCCTTCTTCTCTATCCAAAATTATCAAATTCTCCTGTCACCTGGATCCTTCTCATGCACAAGTAGATATGCTGTTTTTCCCCCTTCAAAAAACATTCTCTTTACTCCATTTCAACCATTTTGCTACTCCACTAGGCACCAAAATTCCCTGAAAGTGTCTGTGTTAATGGTCTCTAATTCCTTTCCTCCCATTCTCTCTTAAACCACTTAACCCCTCCATTGCTGTTTTATTTCTTCCAAGTTTTTATTTAAATTCAAGTTAGTTAACATATAGTGTAGTATTGATTGCAGGAGTAAAATTTAGTGATTCATCTCTTACATATAACACCCAGTGCTCATCCCAACAAGTGATGGGTGTTCCATCACCCATTTAGACCATCCCCTGCAACCCCATCCCTCCATCAACCCTGTTTGTTCTCTATAGTAAAGAGTCTCCTATGGTTTACCTCCGTCTCTGTTTTTATCTTAGTTTATTTTTCCTTCCCTTCCCCTATGTTCATCTGTTTTGTTTCTTAAATTCCACATATAACTGAAATCATATATTTGTCTTTCTCTGACTTATTTCACTTAGTATAATACACTCTATCTCCAACCACATCATTGCAAATGTCAAGATTTCATTTTTTTGGTGGCTGAGTAATATTCCACTGTATATATCACATCTTCTTTATCCATTCATCAGACATTTGGGCTCTTCCCATAATTTGACTATTGTTCATAGTGCTGTTATAAACATTGGGGTGCATGTGTCCCTTCGAATCAATATTTTTGTATCCTTTGTGTAAATACCTAGTAGTATGATTGCTGGGTCATAAGGTAGTTCTATTTTTAACTTTTTGAGGAACCTCCATACTGTTTTCAGAGTGGCTGCACTAGTTTGCATTCCCAAGAACGTAAGAAGGTTCCCCTTTCTCTGCAACCTCACCAACACCTGTTGTTTCCTGAGTTGTTAATTTTAGCCATTCTGACAGGTGTGAGGTGGTATCTCGTGGTTTTTATTTGTATTTCCCTGATGATGAGTGATGCTGAGTATTTTTTCATGTGTCTGTTAGCTTTTATTAAAGTAACCAATTATTTCTATATTGCTTGCCCACTGGCCTATTCCAAGTCCTGATGTTAGTTGATCTACCAAATAAATTTGAAAAATTGGGTAACCCCTTCCTCCTACTATACTTTCATCCTTCTGATTACCATCAGATTATCTTGGTTTTCCTCTGGTATCATATATTGCTTCTTTTTGGTCTTTTTAATTGATCTTTCATCATTTTTCAACCTCTTAATATTAGAGTGGTCCAGGATTCAGTCGTTGGTCTTCTATTTCTCTACCTTCATTCCTTTGGAATTTGACAGCTAGTCTTGTGGCTTTCCATATCTTCTGTTTGCCAATGATTCCAAAATTTGTATCTTGATACCAGAGATTAATCTGAATTCCAAGTTCTATTTCTTACTGCCTACTTGACATTCTGAACTTAATTTTTTCCAAACTGGATTCCAGTCTTTTGGATTCCCATCCTTTGTGTTGCTTTGACCAAAAAATTCAAGGTCATTCTTCATTTCTATCACACAACAGCACAACAGTCAGGAAACCCTACAGGCTCTATCTTCAAAATATATTAAGAATTTGATCACTTTTTACCACCTCTACTTTACCATGTTAATCCAAGCCCCTATTATTTCTTACGGGGATCATTGCAACAGCTCCCTGTTTTCTCTGCTTTATCCTTTGCCCTCAACTGTCTAGTCTCAACACAGCCACCAAGATAAGCATGATAACAAGAAAATCAGATCTTGTCTTCCTTCTGATGAGGAAAACAATGATTAACATTTTGTTTGGAGTAAAAATCAAACTCTTAACAACAGCCAATGAACCTCTACGTGATATGGCTAAGATCACATTTCCCATTGTTGTCCAGTTTTCTCTCTTCAGACACAACAGCTTCCAAGTTCTTTCTAGAGAACACCAGACATGCTCCCATCTTGGGCCTATGTGCCAGCTATTTTCTCTACCTGGAACAATTTTCCAGATATTCATGTGCTACTTCCCTCACATTTTTCAAGTCTTTACTCAGAATTTACCTTTCCTAGGAAGGATTATCTGCCCCCCCCCCCACTTTAAACTAGGACACTCACCCAAATCCTAACCCCCTTATCTTGCTGTTTTGTGTTGTCATCTCCTAGCACTTATCACCTTCTTACATACTATATGTTTGAATTATTTTTATTTCCTACTGCATTAATATGTACACTCCACAAGGTTAGAGATAGTGTAGCTGGCACACAGAAAATATTCAAAACTGTTTGTCAAATGATATGATAGCTCAACTTCTTCATTTAGTCTTAATTATTCAATTCTTAAGAGCCGCGTTTTCCAATGCAAATCAGGGGCCTAAGCTCCACTATAAAAAAAAAAAAAAAACAAAAACACATTCCAGACTAATCCACTTGAAAGTCCTGGTACCCAGAGATCATGGTTTGAAGATGGTGGTGCTTTTTAAGTGCAAGAAGATAGAAGGCAAGTGATCTATTGAGGAACTGCAGCCTACCAGTTGTCTTGAAGACTGACCAGTTTGCAACAGCAGCTCTTCATGAAGCCTAAGACTTTTACTCTGTAAAAGAGTTAAAAGTGACTTCTGATTTCTTCTAGTAAACAAACAAAATAGAAGCATAAAACTCCCCACCTTGAAAAGTCTGGGTATTATCTGGTCCAATTTCCTCGCACAGATATTCACTAGTAGCACCTGATCTCGGTAGTAGTCTCCTAATTAAGGGCTTCTCCCCTTATCCCACACTGCCTCATCTTATGTGCATGAGTGTCTATCTTTACATGCACAGACAGGGATTTTAAATGCAGGTTATTGGTTAACAGACAGAAAACTTGTGGGTTTTTTTTGTTGTTGTTGTTATATATATATATATATATATATATATATATATATATAATGCAGTTGTGAAGAAACTGCACATTTTCTTCCTGGGAAAAAATAATATTATGCTTCTAGGCAAGCAAGCCCACGTAAGCATATTTTACCTAGAACTTAGTTAAGTATAATATTAACGGTATTTCAGCACCTAACCACCATTTGTAAAAGTACCACTGTGGGAAACTGTGCACAAGGTCTTAACTTCGTTGCACTGAATGCACCTCACTGCAAGATCCATAACAAAGAAAACCCCCCCGAAATGTTTCTGTTGTTTCTCCACAGTGAAGGTACATCATGGACAACACCATTGCTAGAGTGGAAGGGGCAGCATTTAGTGATAGTTGGGGAAACAGTCTTTAACAGGTTTGTTGTCAAGGTATCACCATTGACAGAGTAATAATTATTAATATGATTATGATTATTTCAAATGTTTATTTATTTTGAGAGGGAGAGAGCACGAGCGGGGAGGGGCAGAGAGAGGGAGAGAGAGAGAATCCTAAACGGGCTTCACAAGCTCTCGGCGCAGAGCCTGACACGAGGCTCCATTTCACAAACCGTGAGATCACGAGCTAAGCCGAAACCAACAGTCAGATGCTTAACCGACTGAGCCACCCAGGAGCCCCTTAACTGCTGTTTTCCGTCAACCTTATTACCATTTTGTGTTTAGGAGTCTGCGAAAGAATAGCTTAAGACAATACAATGGCAGTTCCTACCCGGCGGGGTCTTCAGGGCCATCTCAGTCGCCTTCTCAGCGCTCCAATTGTCCTCAAAAACTGCTGAATAGGCCCAGAGGGCACTGCACGCCTTCAGGTGAATCTGCAACCTCGGACTGAGTAGCAGTAAATTCGGGAGCTGGAGCAGTTCAATCACCCTAAAATTCCTCCTTGGTCACAGTCTTTTCAGCAGTGGTCTGCTCTTCCTTTTCTACCTTTTCAGGATCTCCGTAGAAGGAGAGCTGGAGCCTGAGCTCCCGCAAGTGTTCACAGGAGATGGCGCTGTACATGCGCAGAAACTCCGGGACCAGCATGCACCACATCAGTCCCACTAAATGAGCTTTTCCTCTCTCCTTTTCTCTCTCTCTCTCTCTCTCTCTCTCTCTCTCTCTCTCTATGTCTTTTTTTTCTTTTTTTTTTTTTGAGTGCACGAGCGGGGAGGGGCATTTTTTTTGTCTTGCAAGAGACAGCAATGCCTGCATAGTGCCAAGAAGAGTCTGGGTTACACAGAGCAAAGGTAAGCAGGTTAACCTGAGACCTCTGTGGGAGCCTGGTATCAGCCCTGGGGTCAGCTACTATCAGAAGTTGCAATTCCAGAAAGCTGCCTGGATCTGGTTAGTGAAGATTCCAGGAACGAAGTGGCCAGCAACAGGAGTGGCTCCAGCAACAGCAGCAACAGCAGCAGCAGCAATTTTTAGCACAGTCACCGGCCAGTATTCCTGGACTGATATGCCACTGACATTAGCCAGGTTTTTCATGGTAACTTCAGGAGTTGCTCCCAGGTTCTCTTCAAATTTCCGATGCAGATGCCATCACTTTCCCTTTTATTCCATTTAGAAGTCAACCCACCTAACTGGATTCCTGCTGCAAGGAATTTGAGGACACCCTCCTCCTTCATTTGCAGAACATCAAGGGCTCCAGGGAGGGTGACGTTTCCCCTTCAACTTACAATGGGAATCCAGAACAATGCCATATGGACTCCTTTCTGGTTAGTGCAGAAATCTGCTCTTTTTATTCAAGGATGAGAAATACGTACAATATCAACAGGATACAAAATTCCTGAGAAAGGATTGTTTTAGAGCCAAATAGTGCCCTCACTTCACATATGCTGCTACTCAACAAAAATATGTTCTCTAATAGTTTTTTTTTTCCATGCTTTCAAAAAGAGGCAATTTCTTAGGAATAGAGTTAAGAATGTAAAAGATATACTGGATCTTTATTTAAGAAGCCATACTAAACTTGACTTGGCTTAATCGAGCTAGCTTACAAAATCCATAGAACAAGAAATGTTTTAATTGCAGACAAATTAACTTGGAACTTCAAGTGTTAAGATATATTTAGCCTATAAAATTTTGTAGCTCCTATAAAAATACTAACTAAAGTAAATCACAATACTAAAAAAAAAAAGATTCAGGCTTAGTAGATCTATTTACCACAAGATTTTTCACAATCACAATGAAAAATTGCTATAATTGTCAGGATATATGTAAGAGGCATTTGGTGAGTGGTTAGGTTCTTAGAACAGATTTCTCCAGTTGATAGGAAAGAATGGTGACAATAGAAAAGCAGGACACTAGTGTATCATTTGGCTTATTAAAAGAAAAAAATTACTGCTTCTACTTAACTAAGGTGAGTTAGAGGTACTTTCAGAAACAAAACAGAAAACGTAAAGATTATGCTGCTTTGAAAAGATTTCCAAAGAGACTACATGTCTGCAAGATACTTGAAAAAATTAGAAAGAATAGTGAGGAGTTTAATATTATTTATTAGTCATATAGCTTGTGACCAATCACCCTAGTGAGGTTCAACACATGTTGATTCCTAAAGCAACAATCTTTTCAAAGACTGGACAGCGTCTAGTGTTTTTCCTTATCCCAAAAATGTTTATCTAATATATTCTAAGTGCAAGGTATTATTCTAAGTGCTGGGTAATGAACTAACACACTATATCCAGTCCCTGCCCACCATCACCAAAAAAAATTAAAGAATAGGACATTATTTCTGCTGAGGTTCAACTTAAATACCTAGTGGGCCATATAAGACATGTAAACCAACCATGGTAAAAACAGTATTTGAAAGGTGCCTAATGAGTACAATAAATACTCCTCAATAGATGCTCCAAAGGAAGATGTGGCTAAATGAACAGGGAAAGATTAATGGAGGACAAACTATTAGGCAAAGCATCAATCCCACCATGGTCTTCATCAGCCATGCCCTCTTGTGACATGATGGGGAAATCTTAGGCTTCAGAGTATGAGCTGGCTTGGTTTGAATGCTGGTTCTGGGACCACTACCTGTGAAAGGGTGGTAAACTTCTTATCCTGTGTGAACCTACTTCTTTTAGTAAAGTGGAAGCGAACAATATCCCCATGCCTTTTTCAAATTTCTTTAGGGAAACAACTGTCCTCAGTTGGTTGTTTCTTAGCCCTTCCCAGTCTGGTTTTATTCCACATCTGACCACGGAAATCAGTACTCAATAGGCACCACTTTATTATTATTTTATGATTGTTAAATCCAACTGAGGCCTTTGAACCATTATCTTAATATTTCTGCTGTCTTTGACTCCCTATATGAATCTCCTTAAGATTCTTAAAACTCCTTAAAACTCTTTCCTCTCAGGTCTTAATGGCTCAACACTTGCAGCTATTTTCTTCAGTAGAAGTATTTTTCAAAGTGCAGGTCAAGACTCACTAGTGAACTCAGTGGGTTACTGCCACAAATTTGTGGCGTTTTTTAATAAAATAAAAGAGAATTGACTTGAAAACATCTGATGCATCACACTAATGTTTGGTGACATTTGTTTCATGGTGTGTGTGTGTGTGTGTGTGTGCGTGTGTGTGCACTCACAGGCGTGTAGATGGGTGATAATGCATGTGTATACCTGGCCAAAGTATGAAATGTATTTCTCATTTCAAGTCATGATGAAAATTTTGCAAGCCACGATTCTAGAGCCATTCCTTCTCAGTTTAATTTTCTAGTTCCTAATTTTAAACTCACCTCTTTGATATTGATTCTCTTCTAACTCTGTAAAACCCTTAATTATCTCTTTGCTAGTTCTCTCACCTGAACTTCCCACCCATCTTACCAGCTGGTTTTTTATAGATACCTAAACTCATTATAAATTATTGATTATTTTAACCGAGTGACAAGAAGAAAGTGACATGTTAGCATGCTTAAACTGACAACAGTATGAAAGACAGGTTTAAAGAAGAGAGACTGGAAGCAGGACATCAGAAAATTATCGCTATGATCTAGTTAAAGTGATTAGAGAATGAATACGAGTGAAAGGTTTCTAAGAGAAAACAGTATGTGTAATAGCAATTTCAGAAAGAAATATCTATCTATATATAAAGGTGGTGCATGGCAAATTTGATGCCAAAAATAAAGAATAAGAAGATTAGATTATTTTTCCAATGTTTCCTATCTGAAGATGAAGCAGTTTCAGTAATGATCATCTCCAGGGGCACCTGGGTGGCTCAGTTCAGTGTCTGACTCTGGATTTTGGCTTAGGTCATGATCTCATAGATAGTGAGATGGAGCCCCCCTCGGACTCTTGTGCTGACAGCGCAAAGCCTACTTGGGATTTTCTCTCTCTCTCTCTCTCTCTCTCTCTCTCACTGTCTCTCTGCCCCTCCCCTGTTTGTGCACACTTGCACCGGAGCACTTGCTCGCTCGCTCTCTCTCCCCCCCCCTCCCAAAATAAATAAATAAACTTTAAAAAACACAGAGTTTTAAAATAATAACAATCTCCAGTGACAATAATATCGTATTTATTTTACTTTTGCACTAACAGGATACTACAGCTAAGCAGTTAAAAACCTTAAAATCCAGGGCACCTGGGTGGCTCATTTGGTTAAGCATCTGACTTCGGCTCAGGTCAGGATCTCACAGTTCATGGTTTAAGCCCCACATCGGGCTCTATGCTGACAGCTCAGAGCCTGGAGCCTGCTTCAGATTCTGTGTCTCTCTCTGCTCCTCACCTGCTCACACCCTTTCTCTTCTCTCCCTCTCTCTCTCTTTCTGAAAAATAAATAAACCTCAAAAAAATTTTTAAACACCTTAAAATTTTTCCAGAACTAAGCCCAGTTGGTAACTTAGTTTCTTTAAAATGTTGGTTTAATAAACAGTATTTTTAATCAAAAATAAATATATATCAGCAAATTAGTTCCCCTGAAATTCTAGTGTTGGCTGAACCTCATATCTGTACTTGTATTATAATCAAACATACAAATAGGTCATATTTTTTAATTTTCCCAGTAGTTCTTTGTTTTATAAAAATTATAGTAAAAACAAGATATAGTAAAATCCAAATGTTTGGATTTTAAGTTCTAGATTTATAAGTGAAGAGATTCTTGTCCCAGATGGGTTCCCTTTATGTCACATTAAAATATCTCTTGCTCTTTTCTAGAAATGGTTTAACTTTCAAATTATGTGTCAACAACAACAAAATCTGTTATACTGTTATATCAGATAATTAGTACCTCATTTTCTCTTCTTCAGCTAAAATTCATAAAATGCCCTCTAACTATATTTTAACAGGGTGAGGACACTCTAATTAGATCAAGACCTCAGCAAAGAAGACAGTTATGGATGACAGTTTGAGGTTTTGCTACTACCCTTCAATGAATCCAGCAACTAAAAAACTAAGGTCTACCTGAAAAGTCAATGAGTGCTTACAAATTCTTGCTTTCATTTTCACACCAGTAAAAGAGCCAATGAGATACTACTTATCTATTGGACTTAAAAATCAGAGGACCCTTCTTTACATCTGATTTTATCATTTGCTACTGATGTGGCCTTGAAGAAATCACTTAAACTTTCTGAGTCTCTTTTTTTCTCACTTGTAAATAAAATTAATGTATTTTATAATTTATAAGGCACTGACACATAAAGTACCTAAATAATCTTCTTTCAGGTTTTCTGCTGAAAAGCTCTATGAAACAAGCCTAAGGTAAACGAGACAGACCAGCCGTTGAACTACCAGTTACAGTAAGAAAAGTAAGGAAAGAAAAGTCTAAGTCCAGAGAAATGAAAGTGGCTCTTTGTGATAAAGGCAAAGGGAACATGGTCCACACAGTAGCTCAAAGTATGCAAGGTCAATAAATAAGACAGAAGAAGGAGAAGAAGAGGAAGAAAAGAATGGATTTCATACAAATTGATACACTGTAGTAACAGGAAGCTGCATTCGAAAGTGCATAGAAGCACATAAGGATATAATTGGTTTTGCAAATAAGGGGTGCTACCAGGGGCATGGTTTCAAGCTGAATATGTAAGATTGTGTAAACTTATCGGGAATCATTTAGTAAAAACATGAGATTGTCAGTCAAATACTAGGTAGACATAAAGTAGGAATGCTGTTGTTACATTTGTATCCAAGAAAAATGGCATTACAACACTGCTGATGGAATATTATAAAAGAATCATACAAACTGCATTCATGACTTGTTTCTTTTACTTCAGCTATGTATTGAAAAATGCAGAGTGGAGAATAAGCTGGAGCATAAAATATTCCATTGTCAAAATATCTTATATAACGTAAAATAGCAAAAGCCACAGAGGAAGGGAGTAAACCCAGGTTTGTGTCGGCCTCTCAAAAATAGAAATAACCGTGGGCACCAGGTCCATCATTCCACCAACACACTAGTCCATAGGGCAAGTTACTTTCTGATGGCTAGGTTCCCTAAGGAAACCTTTTTTTTTTCCCCCTGAATTCATATCAAACAATCTTATCCCACCACTGATGGGAGGTTGCTAAGCCCTGGGAAATTCTTGGAGGCGATAATTCTACCAGTGTGTCTATGATTCAAAAATATATATTCTTTCTATGAAATAAGATGTCTTTTATCAAGCACTGTGAACTATAACTCAAACTTTCTTTCAGTTGAACGTTGAGTGAGCTTGGCTTCAAAGCAAGCATGATGAACAAGAAACATGGCTAGTGGACAAGAGGAGGAAACGAGGACCATATGAGAGAGGTAACTGAAAACAATTGATATTTCTCTAGGGCAAGACTCTGAAGGAGGGCACACTGTATAAAGAATAGTGCCCAAAGAGGCCATGTTATTTTTTTATTTTTTTTTAATATTTTATTTACTTTTGACAGAGAGAGAAAGACAGAGCATGAGTGGGGGCAGAAGCAGAGAGAGAGGGAGACACAGAATCGGAAGCAGGCTCCAGGCTCTGAGCTGTCAGCATGGAGCCCGACACAGGGCTTGAACTCAAAGACCTTGAGATCATGACCTGAGCTGAAGTCAGATGCTCAACTGACTGAGCCACCCAGGCACCCCGCCATGGTTTGTTTTAATAGCCACTGAAGATGGAGGAACTCCAACCAGATAAGTAAGGGCACAGAGTCAAAGTTCAAAGAAGCAGGAATGACTTGAAATCAGGTGTATAACAAAATCCTGGTATCAGGCTATGGAGTCGTTCAGAAGATACGAAACAGGTAATAACTATATCAGGAATAAGACATAACATATACTATGGCAATACCACAAGTAAATCAAAGTGTTATTTTCTTTTTAGGTAAGTAGTTGAAAAAAGTTACCCCCTGGAGAAAATTAGTAGTTACCAGTACATGAAGGCACAATTGAGCAAACTGATGAGGTCCATATGGAGAGTATAGATGGGTAAACATCCAGATACGATAAATTCATTTTAGGCATATCGGATCCTGACTGAATAACATCAAAACTATTTCTAGACCCTGTCACATTGGTGGGATGGAAATAACAAATGTGTTCCTGTTATTTGCCAACATGAGTTCAGGAACTAAGCAAGGATGCATCTTCACATAAAGTGCAAAGAAGTCCACAGCTGAACAGGAGTGGGAGAGGCAGACATCACCACATATGTAACAAAACCTGTCCTTGTTCTGAGTCAACAAGATCTTTCATATCACATAAACCTACATCCAGAGGAAGAGAGAAAGTGATAGGATAAAAAATAGAAAATTCAAGATGTCTATTTTCTCTATATTTTTCCCACTAGAGACTTTTTTCCTAGATGAACTAAGTTTAGCCATTTAGTTTATGTCCCTGAATATATCAAGATCATTCCAGATTTATACTAGTGATATTTCTCTGTTATATTGTTTCTATTTCTCTTGTTAATGGACTGGGTTTTATTCAGCAATATTTAGAATAAGCAACTTGGGCTTTCAATGTCAGATTCATAGCATTCATACTAAATTAAGTAGTACCTTTTTAAAAATAAAAATGAGTTAAATATTGTTTTCATCTTGTAATTTACAAATTAAAAGCATAAAAGAAGTTAACAAACTTAGGATCATCTTTGAGTCTTGGGTCCTTAAATGGAAACTCAGCTATGAAATTGTTAGCCTCTAACAGGAATTGCCCACTGTTGATTGTGGTCATCTTCCTGGATTCTTCTCAATTTAATCCTGTTCTTCCCACTTCTTTATCCATGTTCTATTTCATTTCTCTTAACCACATTTGCACCACATTAGTCATTTGGTCTCTACATTTTGATCCTTCACTTATCTTCAAGGATTTTGACAAAGATCACTTAATTCTTCCCTCACCATGGCTCAGTCAGAACATAAGATCATCCTTCTTATGGATTGACTGTTTGTGTGCCACCCCACCCCCAACCCTCCCATAATTCAGATGTTGAGGCTCTAACCACCAGCATGGCTGTACTGTACTCCTGGAGTATAGAAGTATTTAAGGTTAAATGAGGTCATAAAAACTGGGTCCTGATCTGATAGTATTATTGTCCTTTTAAGAAGAGGGAGAAAGATCACAAGCTTTATCATTCTCTCTCTCTCTCTCTCTCTCTCTCTCTCTCTCTCCCCACTTTCTCCATCTCCATCTCTCTCTATTTCTCTCTCCCTCTCTCTCTCTCTGCCCAGGCTTAGAGGAAAGAACATGAGGGCAAAGTGGCTGTCTGCAAGTCAGGAAGAGACCTCTCAACAGAAACTGACTCTGCCAGAACTTAATTTGGAACATCTATGCTCCAGAACTGTTGAGAAAATAAATTCCTGTTGTTTAAGCACTCAGTCTACAGTATTTTGTTATGGCAGCCTGAGCCACACCAAGATGTTCCCAATATGCCACTTTTAAGCAAAGGATATGAGTTGGAGTTAAGAATCCACAGACAAAATGCAACTCATAATAATATCAGAAACCATCACTTGTTTGTACTCTCTTTATTACTAAAGGATGCCAAATCTGGGGGAAAGGCAATGCAAAGATGTATAATTAAAAGAGTTTTCCCTCCTTCAACATTGTAGTCCAGAGTTGACACTATTAATAGTGTGATGTTTATCTTTCTGGACATATTTTTGAAAGTCAAGAATTAAAAAGCCAAGTGCATTTCATAGTTTTCTAGTTCCTGCATCTACAAGAATCATTGGAGACACTATTTTACAAAATAGATTTTTGTGATTCACCTTCACAAATTCCGATTTATCAGATCTGGGGTATGATCCCGGAACCTGCACTCTAAGCATCCAAGTAATTCTGATGATGTACTTCAAAGAGCACATTTGGTCAAGCACTAATTTAAATATTCTAGCTATTGGTTCTCTGTTTTTATTAATATTACTACATATTTTAATGTTCAGTTTCATGCATTTTTACCATTACTTAAACACATATTCATTTTATGACTTCTTCATAATATATTATTTGTGTAACAGTCTTTAAACATTTATGTTTCCCTTTAGAAAAACAGAAAATCATATTTTAATTGGGCTGTGAAGTTGGATGCAGGCCTACAAGAACTCATAGGAAAAAGGTGTTTCTCTATTTTATTTTCCTTTTTATTAGTTTACAGTCACCAATTACTCGTTTATCCCCACATTTTATGGTTGAACAAATCTGATCCCATAATCTCAAGGCATTCATAAAGACAGAGAGATTAGCAAAATAAAAGACAACCAAATGTGCTTTTTTTCTCCTCCAATGAAATGTGAACTAGAGCAACTGAAGCTAATTGTGAACTGCCAGTGATAAAGAAAAAAAACACTAGAAATTTATTTTATTGATGAGAAATAAACAAACAAGAAACACTCTGCTCCCTTGTAGTTACCATTAACAGTTTTAAAGCAATTAAAAAATAGTCCATTAAAGACTACAGGTGATTTGTAATGTGAGTTGGACATTGTTGTCATTGGGGTCAGTCAAGATAGATTTTCATTCAATTACCTACACATCTTGCCTCCCCAAGGATACTTGAAGGAGTCATCTATACCAAACTCCTCAGTGATTTTCAACTTGAAGTTCATTAGCTCAATGGCAGATTGATGTATTGCACTTAAAATACACTCAAATGTCATCTTTTTAAAAATCTACTAACACAGCCTTACACTATGGAGTTAAATTCAATCACTCAATTTAGCTTTTGGTTCTTTGGAGAAATTACTTTCCTTTATCAAATTCAAGCTGCAAGGCTGCCAGAAAAGGTGTTAATCATGTCATTTGCTACCATTAATGTAAGCTTTGTTTTTATCCAGTTCTCAGCTCAACATCCTTCTGCATCAATTTTTTTCAGCCAGTCTTCCACTGTATAATTACTTCCTAAGAGTAACTTATGTGCATTAGGAAGCATATTAAACAATCAATAAATATTTATTAAATGTCAGCCATGTTCCTGAAAGACCTGTGCCCTTTACTCAAAGAATATATCCTCTTATTGGCAAAATATGATTTTGCATACACGGAATTATTAAAGGAGCATAAAATAAAATTAAGTGTTAAATTATGTGGTTCAAAGAACTATATGCTACACAAGTTCAACAATGGAAAGAAGGTCAGAAGATTTAATCTTGGCTCTGAGGAAGGAGCAAGGTTTTTGCATTACGAAAAAACCATTACAAAAAAAAAAAATGGTGTGAGCACAGAAAGTGAGCTCAGAAGCAAGGGCTGTGGCCAAGGTGAGGTAGAGTGAGCAGTCAACCTGCCCAGACTGGAAGCTTCATTTATTAGATAATATTCTAAAAAGAATTGCATTCTTGCTTCTTTGAGTTATTCACCTACAGATTTTTCTCTGCACTTCAATTTCAGTCATTTTCTACCATCATTTGATTTGCAGGATACCAGAGAAGACTTTAAACTCAACTTTGATTGTTTAGGCCTATCCCCTCCTTTTTCTTCAAAGGATGGGAAGTGATGGATTCAACTCAATGTAATTAATCACTGACTGTACTTTATTATAACAGCCAGACATTTGTTAGGACCAAAATGCTGCATTGTTTTAAAGTAGAATCATTCCCTGTGAGAATTATGAATTGGGAACTATAACAAAGAGGAACTTAATTGAGAATATCTTAATCATAACTTAAATGAACTTACCATGGGAAGAATATATATATTATATATATAATATATATATATTATATATATGTGTGTGTCTATATGTATGTGTATATATATATATATATATATATATATATATATGAATATTACATTTGGATTTGACCATCAATTCCTGTTTATCTAGGAAGTTGGAGAATCTCTTGTCTCCAATTTTTTTCACCGTCCTCTTTTTGAAAGGAGGGCTTGATTTATTGTACTTGACTTCTCTGCTCTTCTATTTCTTCTTTGGTGTCATTGTCAGAGTTTGTGGGGACCCTTGACAGTGATACATAGTCTAGTTAACCCACACATTTAGACTTGGTGACCTCCTTCAGAATCCCAGCCATCCCCCTTCCCACCCTCCTTCACAGTCTTATGTATTGTTTTCATTATGTGTATATAAGTGTTTGCTAAAAGTGTCGGTTGCCAATTTAAGCTATTTATTGTCTTCACTGCTTCAGCTGCTGCTGGATTTCTGAACTTAATCTGCCAAGAACTTCCGTGCAACACATGCTCACTGCAGTTTTCAAGTGATTGCCAGTTGCTGAACTCTTGGTACACGTTTGCAATTCATTGTGTTACCCCCTTACTGCTGTTTCTGGCATCTGCTCTGACTGCTGGATTTTTGGTTATGGAGAAGTTCAGCAATTCTCTTTACAAACTCTCTACCCAGTGGGAGGTGCTATTATTTTACTTTATTTGGAGAAATTAGCTATTCCCCCAGGAAATCAAACAAAACCCTTGTCTTTTATACTTCCCCATTTTCTCACTCTGACTGAAGTTGAAAGGTATTTCACCCAGGGGCTACGAGGAGAGCAGAAACATTTTTTGTTTATTTTATTTTAAACACCAGACTCTCCACTAAATGTGGGTATAAACTCCAACTTCACAGAATTAAGATCTAGCTAATGGCTAATGTTGCCTGAGTACCTAAGTGCCAAATTTGTATGCTAAATATTCTACCCAATTTATTTTAATTAATTTCTACAACAAACCTATAAAATAAGCATCATTATCCCCCCTTATTCAGATAAATAAACTAAAGTTTGAAAGTTAACAAGTTTTCCCAAGTTAACAAAATCTGACATTTAAATATAGGTAGGCAAAGGTAGTAAAGAAACAACTAGATGCCAGTTTGTTTACTTCTGTATTACATTGCCTATCACCCCATCAACAACACTGAGGAAATCAACTTAGAGTGAGATTGTGCCCTCCCTGTCCATGACCATTATTTTTTAAAAGGTAGGCAGCTCTCTTAGAGCTTAGGACAAGATGAGAATAATGGACAATGGACTTTACATTATGGGATGTATTATTTAGAAAAGGTACAGCTATTGTTACAAATAGAACCTCACGTATAATAGAAGTTCATTATTCATTCACATAACAGTCCAAGGGGAGAGAGTTTAGGTCAGCAGGGTAGTTCTCAATGCTGTTATTCAGGCACCAAGACTTACAGGGTTGGTCATTTGTAACATATGGTTTCAAATGTCCTTCTGGTCACCTTTGATTATCACCATTCAAGCCCAAAGAAAAGTGAGAAAGAGCATACAGGGGCATGTCTAGGAGCTTTCATAGCTTGCATCAGCAGTGACACACACACATTATGCCTACTCATATAGAACGCTGGAACCAACGTGAAGAGCATGGTTTCATGACTACACCTAAATGCAAGGAAAGTTGGGAAACATTGTGTTGTTGGCTGGCCATGTGTCCAGCAATTCTATCCCAATGGAAAAAGGGGGAGTAGGTTATGAGGGACATGGAGTCCTCTCCATCACAATCTACCTCTGTGATCATCAAATATCTGTATGCAAATAAAATAGACTCTATCTATGTCTCCAAGGAGACAACTCACTGCATCCACTCCAAAGTCCAGTATCTCTGGAATGTGAAGTTTCCCCACCAGGGCTCAATGGGTTATTTTGTTTTGCAGCACAGAGAAGTATCATAAAGGTTATCTTCCCCAAGTCCAGTCAATATACATTCATGAAGCAGGATAACCACAACAAAAATATGTGTTAAAAAAGAAAAAATACATGAAGAAACAGAAACTGTCTTCATTACTGGGAAGAATGCAAAGTAGGAAAGCCACTCTAGAAGACAGTTTGGCAGTTTCTTACAAAAGTAAGCATACTCTTACCACATGACCCAGCAATCATGATCCTTGGTGTTTATCCAAATGAGCTGAAAACGTATGTCCACATAAAAACCTGCGTATGAATAATTCATAATTGCCAAAACCTGGAAGCAACCAAAATGACCTTCAATAGGTGAATGGCTAAACAGACTGGTACATCTATAAATGGAGTATTATCCAGGAATTTTTTTAAAGGAGCCATCAAGCCATTAAAAGACATGGAAAAACCTTAAATGCAGATTGCTAAGTGAAAAAGAAAGCCATTCTGCAAATGCTACATGCCATATGACTACAACTATATGACATTCTGGAAAAGGCAAAACTTGTGACAGTAAAAAGATTAGTTACCAGGGGCTAGGGCTGGGCCAGGGTGGGTGGAGGTTTGAAAAAGAAGGGAGGCATGAATAGGTGGAGCACAGGAATTTTTAGGACAGTGAAAAAGAAACTATTCTGTGTGATATTAAACTGGTGTCTGCAAGTCATTATATATTCGTCGAAACCCACTGAATGTACATTACAAAGAGTAAGCCCTAATGCACACTATGAAATTT